AGGAAATACAATGGTGTTATATTCTTGGTGCCATTTTTGGTTGTTCTGTTTCCTGATGATAAAGGAGGAGACCTAGGGGCTGATACGTATTTGGGGCCCACCCTCCCTACCTCACCCCTGCACCACCGCGGTGCACAGGAGGAGGAGAAGGACGGCCAGGGTTCACAGCCGCCTATTATAATCTCGAGGGCAAGGGAGGAAGAGAGGTGATGTTTTGCTAGATTTTCTCATTGAGCTGATACATCCTTGGGTCTTTCCTGATGATGGTCTGATGGGCTCACCTAAAACAACGAAGGTCCCAGATCAACGAATTTACGATGAAAACCCCTCTCCTACGGGAAATGATTTCCAAGTTCATCACCAGGCAGCGTGTTACAGAGACCAAGGCTCCCCGTGGCACATCAGTTTTACACCCAGGACAGAAAGCAGGGAGAAAACGGAGAGGGGTGGGTATCACCCCGAGGACGGGCGCACTTGGGAGGAGAGCCCGCCGCCCGGCTCCCGCGCCCTTGCTCGCATCGCACCACCCCTCCGCTCGCCTTGCGGGGGCGGGGCATTGTGGGGGCCGTGTGGTTCCGGCCCGGGCAGAGCGGGGGATCGAACCGCACAGGCGGCTGGACAGGGACACAGGGACAGCAGCCGGGCATGGCTGCAGGGGGCGGAGGGCCTCGCCCGGCGGCGCTTCACACACTCAGGCCGGCACGCTCCGTTTACACCCGTGCGTCTTAAGCCACTTGCATCCACATTCAGTTTCATGGCTATTTGTTTGTTTCTCTTATTTTCTGGAGCTGTGCTGAATGTCTCTAAGTCATACAGCAAAGATGCCCTACAACTTCACATATCCCCTCCCCCCCCACCCCAGGTCCACATCTCCCCCCACCCCACCCCTCCCAGGTCCATATCCTCCCCGTCTGGAGCCCACCTGGACCACAGGCCCTCCCACTAGGCCTCCCCTGGGCCTGTCTGCTGAGAGTTCTCTTTCCTTCCTCCTTTCCCAGGGAGAGCTCACCACTACCTCCAGCGGCTCATAACTGCTGCCTTAGAGAAGAATAGCTGGTCCAGAGGAGGGCTGCTGGCAGGAGAGACAGAGACCGCCTGAACTCTGCCCTCTTATCAGAGCCGCCTGTGTCCCTCCCTCCTCACTCGCACTGCAAAGGGCCACCTCACCCGCTGAGTTTAGCCCAGGTGGGAACTGGGCTTGGGAGCACACACGGGCCTCAATCAATGAGGCCAAAAATGTTGAACTAATGACTCTTCTCTCTGCTTCAGGCAATCTTTCCTTAGTCTACTTTTGGAAGATTATAAAAACCCATGAGGAACCATTCTTTACGGAAGAAGAAACTGTTGATGGCCAACCCAACAGCCCGTCTCCTCCTTCCCTGTAGCAGGATGTTGGTGGCCAAGGCCAGGGGCAGGGAGTGGCCCACTGCCCCAGGTCTAAGCCAGCTCTGCACCCCTCCCACTGAGTGGGACTTGGCCGAAGTTCTGGCAAAGGATCGAAGTGTGGGCAGGGCAGCGGTGGCCTGGGTGAAATTTCAGGGAGTGGCTGTGTTCCCCAGGAAGAGGGACACTGGAAGAAGGCAGTCTACCCGTCCCCCGCCCCCACGCAGCAACACAGTGCATTTCACACACACCATATACAACACACAGACCACAGACACAACACACACCACACCCACAACACGTATACTTAACCCGGGCCACACACAACGCATACATACGCAAACACACAACATCCATACCGCACAGACCACACACACAACATACACCATACACAACACACACCACAGACACAACACACTACCCGTGCAACACATGTATACATAATACATACCACCCACAGCGTATGCACACATCTACAGAGACCACACAACACAGGCCCCACACAAAACGCACAACACATATACCTGTCTATACAACAGCACAATATAGACCACACAGAGGTACACACCACACACACACATCACACACACAGACGCACTTGCCAACTCCCCTTTCTCCCGCCTTCAGATACTGTCAGGTGAGTCTGTGTTTGGAGGCGTCACCACCATTGTGCAACCATGAGGAAGCCCCCCAGGAAAGCACAGGAAAGCCGGCGCTGAGCCCTGATGCTATTGATCTTCTGGGCCGGACGATTCTGCAATTCCCTGGCTCCTGACTTCCTCTTCTGTAAAAGAATAAATCTCTATTTCCTAAGTAATTTTTTCCATCATGCATTCTGCTCTTTGCAGCTGAAATCAGCCTAACATACTGTGGACCAGATCGTAGACCTGTAGCACTATGTCTTACACGTCACTCAGTCCTGTACGGCACCTGGGGGGTGGCCAAGGATGTCAGTTGAGTAGGTAAGTGAGTGATGCAGGGGGATTGGTGCAGGGCAGTGGGAAGAGGGTGTATCCTGTGCTCGAGGCCCTGGGGGAAAATACTCCTCCTGAGTATATAGTCGCTGGCATAAATGCTTTACACTTACTGATTTATATGATCATCAGGAGAACGGGGTGAGACAGGTGCATTCATTGCCATCCCCATTTGATGCAGGGGAAGACTGAGGTGTGGAGAGTGAAAGTGACTTTGCAGGGATTGCACAGCAAAGGATGTGGTCGCAGGGCTGGGGCCAGGGTGAGACGAGGGAAGCTTTGCTCGCCTTGGGGCAAAATGAAAGGAAATGCCCCAAACACTTAGGAATCGGGCTAGACCATGTCTTAATATCTAATGTTCAAAATAAAAATTAACATGCAAATTCAGGATGAGCAAAATATTAAAATCATAAATAAAGGTGGGATTCATCCCTGCACTTGTGCAACCTGGCCTCTCTCTCCTCACCCCGATCTCAGCTCTGAAATAGAACATTATTTACAGAACGAAGCGGCCTGCCTGGGGGGCCTTAGTTTGTTGATGTGATTTTTAAAATTTTTGAGTTCTTAAATGTTTTTATTTCTTTTTGAGAGAGCACAAGTGGGGGAGGGGTGGAGAGAGAAGGGGACAGAAGATCCGAAGCAGGCAAGGGGCTCACAGCACAGAGACCGATGTGGGGCTCAAACTCACAAACAGCAAGATCATGACCTGAGCCAAAGTCAGACACTCTGCTGACTGGGCCACGTGCCCCTGATATGATTTGTTTCAAATACTGCATGAGGATTGCTGAGTTTTTTGATTCCCTCTTAAATTTTGTGCCCAAGTTGAGTACCCCATTCCCCTCACCCCAGTCCTGCCCTCGAGTAGCCAAGCCAGGATTTGAACACGAATAGGCTCGTACTAACCTTGTGTTCTCAGACACTGGCTTCGCCTTTCTTTAAAGGAGTTGTGGGAAAGAGCGCTGGGTCATCCTTGAGGTGGTTCTTACTGCTCCAGAAGACTTTGGGAGCCGAGGGAAACATATATTCATTTACCCACGCTAGTTTGAAAAAAAACATTTCTACACGGCCTATGCTCATTAAAAACAAAACAAAAACTTTTTAAACTAGGCTCATTTTCAAGATGTGGAAACAGACCCAGTGACGTGTGGAACAATTTGCCTCAGTTTACACTGCCAACAAGTGGATGGGCCAGGGTTCGATCCCAGGATTCTGCTTCCAGAGCTAAGATCTTTCCATGGCCCCATGGCATTTCTGCATATATGGTAAGCACATTTAGTATAGTCACCTGAAACTAGACAAATGTAGGCCTGTAACAAAGATTTTAGCCTGGAAAGAAGCCAGTGGTACATGCAGGGGTAAACTGAGGCACAGGTGAAGGCGGGGTGGATATTGGACTGGAGGAGTAAAGAGGCTGGTGGAGGAAAAGAGAATGCATTTTTTAAAATGTTTATTGTATTTTGAGAGAGAGAGGGAGAGTGAGCTGGGGAGCGCCAGAGAGAGGGAGAGGGAGAGAGAATCACAAGCAGGCTCCATGCTGTCAGCACAGAGCCCAGTGTGGGGCTCAAACTCACAAATTGCGAGATCATGACCTGAGCTGAACCCAAGAGTGGGACACTGAACTACCCAGGCATCCTGAGAGTGCATTTTCCAGGGGACGCCTGAGGGCTGTGGGGAGAGGAGAGAGGGCAAATGCAGGGAAAGTCCTGGAAGAATGCTGTCATGAGCAGAGTGTGTAGAACCTACTGTAAAATGCCATGTCTCAAGAACTGCGCCATGAAGTACCCAGAAGAGCTACGGTAGTTGAGAAATAAGAGACTGGATGTGAAAGGACTTGCTTGCCCAGGGTCACGTGCTCTCAGCTGTGATGTCAGAACCTGCTGGGAGGGGAGCCCAATGCTCTTCGTGTTTTCTCTGGAGACTGCACGTGGGAAGGAGCACGGTTGGAAATTTGTGTCCATCACAAGCTGTCCCTAACGTGACGGGCCATTGAGGAAAGAAGGAAAAGTGGGGCAGACAGCGATGAATCACAACTCAGGTGAAGACACCCTCCACCCTGTCCTGTGGCTTCCTAGAGCTTCTAGAAATCTCTACTCTCCACCCTGGCTTCTCCTATGTGATCTGTTACTCCCATTTGTGTGCGTATCTGATAGGTCTACAAATGCTGATGTTCTTTAAACAGCCAAGGAGAGATTCAGATAACGTGAATAGCAAGAACTTTCTATCTTGCAGTCACTGGCCCCAAATCCCTTACACCACGGGCACAGAGCCAGCCACATGCACAGAACCACGTGGCGGTGCCTGTGACAGGGTCCCCTCCATACAACCATTCCTCAGATTCAGAAGCAGACTCACACACAAACTCAGCAGCACAGCTCGCTATCTGCATTAATACGACGTCACTACTCCACCATCTTCCTCAAGGTAAGTTTGCTCTTCTCGAAAACTCTTGCCTAGAAAGTTGCAAATTACTTTGTCTTTCCAGAATCTTCTTGAAAGACCCATTGGCCTTTCGATAGAAAGCATCACAGATAGTTTACAGCCCTCCGTCAACCCCTGCTTCAAAATCATTGCCTTTCTGTGCCTACTGGTCTTAACCATTGTATTAGGTTATTGTTGTATTGTTGTGTTGAGTATTGTTCTTACCTCGTCCCAGTCAAGGCCGCTGAAGTTGAAAATCAACCTTAAACCAGGCTTCGGAATCTTGATGAGGATTCCTGGCATTGGCCTCCTCCCTGAGTCGCCTCCCACGGCACAATGAGGGTAAACACAGCTTTGTTTGTTTATCAGCAGATTATTCAGGTGATATTTTCAGGGAGCTGGAATTTGATAACAGAAAGAAAAGAGAAAAAGAGGTGTAAGAGAAGAGGGACAGTGGGGGTGAATTCGTTAGGGACAAGTAGGGACGTTCCAGGGCTCAGCACCTGCGTGGTGCATGAGCCTGGCCTGGTGAGCCTGATGGTGGTCAGCTCCATGGCATTCCGGGGTGAAGTTTGCCGCCCTCATGCTTCCCTGTGTCGGCAGCTTGCAAACATGGTTCCCAACCCCCAAGTAGAAGGGCGGGTTACATTTGCTAAAGAATCTTTCACTGTCCTTTGAGGAAAAGCTTCAATATTTCTGATTCCACAGCCTGCGTCCTTCCCTTCCCAAGATGGTGTCCGGGCGGCCGAGCTTACCGAGCCCTCAGGGCTGCAGCCAGGGTCCCCGTGGCCTCTCAGCAAGGGTCACTCCTCGCTTACTGGCCACTTCAGCCGGGCCTGGGGCTGTCCCCTGCTGGCCTTGCCCCCTCTCTCTGTCCAAGGGGCAAGGTCTGACCGTGACCCCCGTTTGCTCCCCGCAGGGGGTACACTCTGCGGGCTTACCTGCGGGTCCAGACTCCTCCCTCACAGCAGCCACTGCCCACCCAGGGCGTCCTCTGACATGTGAGCGACTTCTGTGCCTTCCACGAGGCCCGCACTTGTGTGAGTGACCTCCCAGTCATTGCCCAGCTTGGCTACTCGTGCAGGCAGATGGGACACCCACGTGGGGTCAAGGACTCCGAGGTGTTTTCTTCCCAGAATCCTGCACGGCTGTAGGACGGAAGTCAGCTGCCGTATGAACAGCACAGGCCGGGAGGGGGGTTGGGGGGGATGTAGCCCACAGAAATATCTTGTCTCACAGTTCCAGAGGCTGTAAGTTGAAGACCGAGGTGTTAATAGGCTTGGTTTCCTTTGAGGCCTCTCCCTGGCTGTCCGAGGACTGTCTTCTCCCTGTACCTCTACATGGTCTTCGCTCTATGCCAGTCTGTGTCCTGAACTGCTCTTCTTTTTTTATTTTTAAGCTTTTTTTTTAAAAAAAATGTTTATTTATTTTTGAGAGAGAGACAGACAGAGCATTAGTGGAGGAGAGGCAGAGAGAGAGGAAGACACAGAATCTGCAGGCTCTGAGCTGTCAGCACAAAGCCTGACACGGGGCTCAAACTCAACGGACTCGGAGACCATGACTTGAGCTGAAGTCAGACACCCAACAGACTGAGCCTCCCAGACGCTCCTGAACTCCTCTTCTCATTAAAAGCCCCACTCACACTGATTAGAGCCCACCCACATGACCTCATTTTGCCTTAATTGCCTCTTTAAAGGTCCTATCTCCAAATACAGTCACAGTCCGAAGTACTGAGGGTTAGGACTTCCACATAGGAAACTTGGGGCCACAGGGAGGTGGGGGAACACACAAGTTAGTTCATCACGGAGCCCTTCTCCGCTGCTGTTTCCCACATACTCCATTCTGTTCTCTGTGCAGTTCCCACGGACCAGAAGCCCCAATTATGTGCTTCCTTTTCCTTTCAAGGTGGGAGTTTTCTTATTTTCCCTTTCTGATCTACCTTCTCCCCTTCCAACATGGCGAAGTGCTACTATGGGACAGTTTCTAGGGGAAAGAAATGAGAAGTCCATTAGTTTAATATTTTCAAAGTATTATCTTCCTTACCTTTATGTGGAGGTTATGAATAAGCCTGGCAAACTGAGGAGGTTGATAAAACTGACTTGCAGGAGCATCCGGGTACCTGAGAGCCAATTTGCTTCAAGGAAGGCAAGGTCTGCCCAGTGGGCTCACTTGGGCTCCAGGGATACCTCAGCCTTCACAGCCTGGGGAAGAAAGGCCCTGTACCATCTCAGAGAGTTTGCTCTCTGAGTCTGTAACCATTTGGACCCCAGTAAAAGCTGGAACCGTAAGAGAAGTAGCCATTTTACTCAACCGAAGAGTCTCCCTGGGGCTCTGAGATTCCAGAACAAAGGGGGACAAGATTCTGCGAACAAAATGGGTTTAGCAAGCCAGCAAACATTCAGATCTTGCCGATAAGAGGAACTCATTTGTACCCTCAAGCTATGAGGCTAGGAATATCCAGATTCTTTGAATCTGATTGAGAAAGAAAAAAAAAGTTAAAAATAAAAAAAAAAAGAGGACCAGGTTAATTGACAACATTTTCATGGCCGTTTGTTCTTAAGTAAGCAGTTTTGAAACCACTTATCACGTAACTTTTTACCTACAACCCTTTTCAACTTTAATGAAGTGTGTTTCTTGTGTGGAATTTTTATAATTTTACTTTCTGTATTAGAGTGGTTGTCAGTATTTGATAATGAGCCTGAAGCCAGCTGAACATTCTTTAGAAGTTTTCCAGGTATCTGATTGAGTTTATCAGCGTCTTTCTTTCATAGCTTCTTGACTGCCTCTCCGAATGATTAGAGAGTTCTTTCAAAATTGTGCCAAGCTTGAAGTGATAATGAAACAGTGCTAATCAGAAAGTAGTTGTACAGACAGACATGGTCGATAGGATGGCTGGCTTACCAAGTAATGAAGGGCCAACAGCGCCGCCTAGTGGAATAACACGGGTACTAAAGTGTTGATGCCAGCTAACAGGAACTCCATAAAATCAGTACGAAGTCAGGGTTAAGCCTCATTGTATTGCAGATTTTCACAAGCACGATAAAAAACTGTAAGTGAAAATTCTAATAATTTTAGAGTGGTAAATTTAGAATGTAGAATTCCTAATGTTAGGAATAAGTTAAAAAATATATCGATTATTATTTTTGTAGCTCACAGAATTTATAATATCATGCATTTGTTGAAATAGTCTTAAACCTAAAAAACGCAGATAAAAGTGACTCTAATAATATCAAAGCAATCCTTCATCTTAGCTTATCAAAAAATAATCACAGTGAATTATTAAGAGAAGAGCAGATGCTATACTATCTATAAGACCAAAATATTTTGACTGCATTTTCATGAGACATTAATAAATATGGTTAAGTACTGCCACTAGTACATTTGGGAAAAATTATAAACTGCCAAGAAAAGAACACATATTTAATTTTTTTTTTTCAGAATTTTCTCCAAGTGTGACCAATGCTGAGTAGAGATTGGTGACATTTATTACTGTCTTTCCTAGTTGCCTCATTCAGCTAACTGGAAAATTATTCTGCATAATTTTAAGTTAATGTACAATGAAAGAGAAGAGATTCCCAGAAGATTCTGAAAATTAAATGAAAGAGACCCACAGGCCAAAGTTACACAGACCCACAAATTGCATAGAGAAATCAATACAATTTGATAATCTAATGGAAAAGGCTTGACAGAAGAGAAATCTTCTTTTAGAAGGAATCACTTCATTCGGATTCTCCTGGTCATTGAATATGAATACATATTAGAGGCACCTGGGCGGCTCAGTCAGTTAAGCGTCCGACTTTGGCGCAGGTCACAATCTCACAGTTTGTGAGTTCGAGCCCTGCGTCGGGCTCTGTGCTAACAGCTCAGACCCTGGAGTCTGTTTCAGATTCTGTGTCTCCCTCTCTCTCTGCCTCCCCTCTGCTTGTGCTATCTTTCTCTGTCTCTCAAAAATAAATAAATGTAAAAAAACCTTTTTTTAAAATATGAACACGTATTAGTGGTATTTGTTCACATTCTAATTGCATTCACTTAACAGGTTAGAGTCAAGCTGTTATCAAATGAAATTTTAAAATGTAAGCCATACAGAGTTGGTTAACATTGAATATAAATCATTTTTTTTTTTTTGCATTTAATAAAATGAACAAAGAGACAATCAAGCTTTAAGCCAGGAAGTGAAACGCTCAAAGTTGTTTGTACTTTCAGGCAGAAAATCCAAATTTAATAACTCATGATCAGCTACAGAGTTGTTTTTTTTTTTTTTAATATCAATACCTAGAAAAATGAGTTTCAGAGAAACTAGTTTTCATGAACAGAGCCTGATGGGTCAAAACTCAGTATGTCTTCATGTGTGTAATTTCTGGAATAGGATCTAAATTTAAAGTCCTGGTTATGTCCATCAGTGGTTATTTGGGCCCATCTATCCCACCCAGGCCTCTTCAAGTGCACCTGTCCCGACCACAGGCTGTGAGCACAGGAACTGAACTCACTCCTTCCAGCTGAGAAAGTAGGAGATCCTGTCTCCCAGTTGCCTGCTTTTAAAATGCTCTGTGCCTCCTTTATGACCTTGGTTTTTTAGTGTGTTTTTTCCCTCCCTACATATATGCTCTCAAACCCTTAGCTATGAGGACAAAAGGAAAAAAAAAAAAAAAAAAGAAGCGTGTTTTCCAACAGTAGCATCTTTTCAATCACTGTCAATGAGACTATGTTGCCATAATCCGATAATTGTTAAGAATAAGGTGAAAAGACAGTAGAGAGTTTGTGATTTGGGGATTCCAACAGTCAGGGAACAGGTACCCTGACCAATTTGTTCTACTTACACACGCTAAATGTGCTAGGCTGGGATGACATATTGATACGCCCACAAGCAGTGAAGGCAAACACACAGGCCAAAAGCAAAGTGAAGCTGGAAGCTGAAATAGAAAGTAGACACAGGAGGCAGGTTTTAGCCTCAAGGATATTTGCCAAACCTGGTGCCTCGGTCTTTGGTTTTCAAGGCTGGTCTGAGAAGAAAAATCTAACAAGAAACCCCCCTGTATTGAGCTGACTCACTTGGTGTTGGGAAGGCCTAAAGGCACCAACTCCCTACCCCCAGGGCAAGGTCAACTTACCGGCTTGAATCCTTGACCTAGAGAGGGGTAACAAATCTTCCCGAAAAGTGCTCACCACCAGGTAGCCTTATGCAAGTTTGTACCTTGAATTCCCTCTGTTTTGGTGCTCCAGAATTTCTCGAACCATCACTTAGTTTAGTCATTCAGGGTTGTTGGTGGCCTCAGATAACTGGGAAAAGCAGGCCAAAGTGATTTCTGGAAGCATTGACCTCCAAGTGATCTCCAAGAATTCTCTCAAAGAAAATTCCAGAAAATATGACATCAACACTAAAACAATCACAAAACACACAAGGAGTCACGGTTCCACTGTCGAGAGGTGGCAAAAACAGACAGCAGAACTAGACTCACGGGAAGGCAGGTACTGGAATGATCAGATACAGAATGTAACAAAAATGTTTAATGTGCTTTAAAGAAATAAAAATGAGAGCTTACAATAGTAATACAAAAAAGCAGTTCTAAAAGTAGTCGCATAATTTCTAGGCAAGATCTGCCTAATAATTGACATGAAAACAGTTGACTGATTTAGCAGCAGTTTGTACCTCAAGAGACAATTAGTAAAAGGAACCCTAATTCTGAAGACATTATCCAGAGTTTGGCACCTAAGACCAGCACCTGATGGCAAATCTGACAGAGAGGTTAAGGACACAGTGGCTCGAGGGGAAAGGTCCACTATATGAAGGTGTCAAAGGCAATATTTAAAGAGAGAATAGCTGTGGATTTTTCAAAGCTGATAAAAATCTTCAATTCACACACTAACTGCAACAATTTCCAAATAGAATTACAAGGGAAGGAAAAAGCCATGCACATTTAGTTGTATCATAGTGAGACAGACAGACCTTTGAAAAACCTAGAGAGAAAACACGAGCTGACTACGATTTCATGACATTTTGTCAGAGATCTGATTTTTCCATAAGCAACAGTGGGAGATCGAGAATAGTATTTTTAGTGTGCTTAGAGAAAATAGATGTCAACTTAGAATTCTATTCTTGGCAAAAACTATCTTTCAGAGATGAATGTAAAATAAAATAATTTTCAGAACAATATAAACCTTTGTTA